GACGCCGCGCCGAGCCTGCGCCTACCGCCGCTGCAGGATGCTGCGCTCCACTTCCACCGTCACCCTGCTCTCGGGCGGCGGCGCCAGGACGCCCGGGGCGCCCAGCAGGAGGGTGAGTAGCTAGAGGAGCTATCTGCGCTCGTCGGGCTTCCCCGTCCGGGCCGCCCAGCTTCCCCATCTTGGCAGGACGGCTGCAGGGGTCTGGGGATGGGGACATGCGGGAGCCGGTCCTTGGCCCCGAAGCCCTACCTGGGCTCTACTTTCCAGTCTTGTCCCTCTTCGAGTCCTGACCCTTCTTCTCGACGCCCCACTGGCGCCCCAGGCTCGCATGGTTTAGGGGACTTTCTGGAATTCCCAGAGATTTCCCCTCCTTCCTGATTCATCTGTCAAGCCAAGTTTTTTGTTGGCACCAGTTTAAAAAGCAAGAGAGACATTTCTGCACTGTCCCTTTCTTGAGACTCAACGGTAATGAACGTCTTTAACACCCAAACTTTCCTCCTTCCAGCCATCTATCTATTCGTTATATTCGATCTATTCTATCACTACCGGTGATAGAATAACACTACTTGCTACTGGAGTGGAATCAGCCAAAGTAGGCTTCACCTGACAAAGCAGAGATCAGCACTGGAACCCAGTTGTGTGTGACTTGGGTTTATACAAAAACACTATCTTCTTTTTGATTGAAAAATTAGCACAGTGACTGCAGGGGTAGCCCTGGAGGCCCTGGGCACCAGCCAGGTCGCCCTTTGGAAGTGCTCTGTTTCTCTCATCTTTGTTGCATCTTTTCTCCCTTCTCCAGACGCTCTGGGAAGAAAATGCCACTCACATGCAGTTTGCATGTTTCCATGACTCTTCCAAGTTGAGCGCCTCAGAGCACACGTCCAGGGAGGGTCTTGGGTTTTGGCTTTTTAGTTCATCCACTCATCATGATATTCAGTACTTATCTGCTACCACTGTTCTTTGGTTGAGATATCTCTAATTGTGTTTCCCCAAGGTTTAGCTAAGTGAGTAGTTAAGTCCAAGTCAAGGACCCCTTTGGTATTCTAGTCCGTTCTGTAGTCTTGTAGGCATGCATATTTGCTTTTTGTATACCTCAGCCAAGTGACTAGCAGTTGCCTTCTATGCTGTCTTTCTTTGGCTCTAGAAGAAAGGCGTTGTGTTACTCGTGAGTGTGGGCCAAGTGATGGGTTCTGGTGTGTGTGTGTGTGTGTGTGTGTTTGCGCGCGCGCGCACGTGTGCACACATATGCACATACTCCAGACATTTAGGGCTGTCAGAATTCTGTTTGTTCAGTCATTAGCTTCATAAAGCAAGATCTCCATTAGATCCAAGTGGGTTTCTAACCACAGGCAGGGCCTTACTTCTTTTCTATGGAAATCCTTCTCAGTTGGAACACAATTAAGATTGAGAAAAAATGAAGTCACTGAAAAGCTAGCCCTGAGCCTGGACACTCATGTGTGGGACCACATTGCATAAATGGCATGAAATTGTTCAAGTTCCCTTCCAGAGATGAGGACTAATCGAGGCAGCTAGAGTGATACTGTGGATGGATACAAATGTGATTAATATACTAGATAACATTTCTGAAGATTTTTTTCTCAAATATTTATTTTCCGGTGTTTCTTTAATTGTAAGTTTTCGGGTGTCTGGCACAGTGGACACACTATTGAGAAGGCTTTGCCTTTTGAATAAGATAGCCAAAATAGTTTGGAGCAGAGAGGTCAGGACCCTGAATCAAACAATATAGGGCTGTTCTGAGCCATATGATACTTATTCTGAGAAGATATCTAAAGGTTCTAGGGTTCCCTTTATGATTTCCAACTCTTGCTCATGATTTGCAAATGTCACAGGTATTGTCTGTGTATATATGTGTGTGTGGAGAGTGTGGTGGGAGGCTGTGATACTTTGCTTGATTAATTGATTGGTTAAACAACTTACATAGACCTCCTTCTGTGTGATGCAGGGCTAGGCATTGGGATCCACTCTACCTGTAGAGGCGGATGTTGTCACAGTTGCTCTCATACAAAGTAATCGTTGTTATAGTGGGGTATAGAGTGTTGACAAAGTCCAGTGGAGGCTAAAAAGATAGGTTCTTTCCAAAGCATCTGAAGAAGGCCTCCCTTGGCAGGAGATATTTGCTCTTGCAGGATGAGTAGGAATTTATAGGGCTATTGACGTTATTGGGATACTGAGTGGAAATACCCACTCATCTAAATGGAACTCTTGGCATATACTGTATAAAAATGGCATACTGGACCTGCTTTAGAGTAAAACACTTATTTTTTGAAAAAAGCAAGAACAGAATGTCTTAAATAAAATTGTAGACCAAACAAGCGATCATGAAAAGTGTTCCTAAAGTTGAAAGTTTTTCAATAAACTCTGTATTGTCTTTTCTTTCTGATGTTGGACAAGTGATGGTCTTGAACAATAACATGTCAGCCATTAAAATAGCATTTCCATTTCATCCACATTGTTTACCAAATTAGGGGCTGCAGAGGAACCAGGCAGTGTTGGTCCAGACATTCAAGTCAACCAGAAATGGTGGTGACAGCTGACACTAAGCAGAGTTCTCTGAGTCAGCTGTCAAGGGTAGTATGGCCAGACCAGACTGTTACCAGTTATTCTTCATTCAATGGCTGCCACCTACAATTTAGACTTCCTTCTTATCTGAAATCATCTCTCAAGGGGGAAAAAAACAGGTGGGAGAGTAATTTCTGTCAGCTGATAAACAAAGCTCTCAGAGGCATTTATGGATGCCAACCAACAGAGGCTGTGAAATTAAAAAAAAAAAATCTGCCTTCAAACCAGTTGTGCTCTAAAAATAGTTTTATCTATGGCAACAGCAGGAAGATAAATTGGCTGGAGAATAACTACAGACAGAATGATGACCTTGGAGAATGGGAAAAACATTTTTAAAAATATTGACATTGTTTCATGGTTTTGAAAGGAATTTTGTGAATGCAGTTAATCCTACTGAATGAGCCTTTGAAACGAAGGGTAAGTTGTATGACCAGGCTGTGCACTTAGTGGTGAAAGCACGAGTTGCTTTGCGTGGCCAAATTTTTTTGGTTAAGCGGTCCAGCTAGGATAGTGTGAGACCTGTCAAGGGTTTCCTCCAGCACCATCAGATAGTATCAATGTCTCCTATTGATAATAAAAGACTGTTTGGCTGGTATTACTAGTATCGTGGTCCCTGAGTGGCACATAAACAAAACAAAACAAAATTCAGCAAGGCCACAAGGATAGGACTGTCTCCTAGCCTGTTCTTGCCCATATTGCTATTTGGTAAAGGCTCCTCTGTTAAAAATCAGAATGAGCCTACCAGTCATCACTCCCTAGCTAATGCATCACTCTCCTGGGTCCCATTTCTGTCTTATAGTCTTGAAATAAAGAACTCTCCTTAACTGGATAGTGAATGATCAGTCAAGTGTTTACCTCACTTCCTTTTCCTTTTCACAGAAACATCTGTGTGTATAACTTTCATGTTGTCCTATGGGCTCTGAGGAAGGGACACAGGATGTTGTGAGACCTCACCATCTGGTGGAGGGAAGTTGGCTGCATCATCCACTAGGGAGGGGGTAGGCAGGGGACCTGCTGCTCCTAGAAAACAGGCCGGCCCTTTACCAGAGCCCTCCTGAGCCAGCCCCCAACAGGCCAAATTGTTAAGGTTTTAGAACCGTGGTGTCCTCAGGGCTTAGCCAAAAAACCTTTGCCACTAAAAATTGAAAGTCGTATTTCAGAAAAAATGTCCCAGTCTCTCTGCTTTGGTTCACCTATCTCACTATGTCAGATGTAGGATGAACAGACCTAAGTCCTAGGGATCTTAAGGAAAATTGAGGCCTGGAGGCTTCCGGTTACTTGGAAAACCCTTATAAGTCAATCAGTCTCAAAAATTGTCTAATTGAGTTCAGGGAGCTGTGGATCCAGGGCTAACTAACTAGAGACCATGTTGAAATGTTTTGATCTAAAATATTTTCGGTGATTACGTACATTATGGTCTTAGAGCTTCCTGTGGCAATCCCTCTCAGCCTAAAACAGTTTCAGTTTTCCCCAATGCACTGAAGAGTAACACAGTGGTATTTACCTCTTTTCTCTCTTTAGATGAGTGATATTTCCTAAAAGTCAATCACATTGTTCTCTTTTGTTCCTTAAGGCCAGAGTGATCTTTCCAAAATGCACAGTTCAGTCACCTGACTCCTGCTTCGAGAGCACCCTTGGCACTTCTAGTAGAAAGTATTGACCCCTTAGTTTAGCATCCAGGCCCTTCTGATCTTCCTTTGCCTTTTCTATCCCCCATCCCTATGCATACTCTCCAGATATTTCAAATTACTTGCCACTCCCCAAGCTTTCCATGCTGTTCCTTGTCCCTTTGCTTTTTTTGTGCCTCTCCTCTGATTAAGGGTCATCTCCTCCAGGAAACCAAACCTGAACTCTCCTTTCCATGTTCCCCTAAGGGCCTGTGCACCTCTTCATTGCCTGCATCACCTGTGGTTACCTTCTTGAGAGGGTTTAGGGATCCTCCCTCTCCAGGCCTCATATAATAGATGCTTAAAAAGGGAAGTGTCACCAGGGTCCTAAAGGAGCCACACTTAACTTTGAATTGGCAAATGGAAAAACAGAAAGAGAAGCTTGGGATAAAGCCAGCACATTGCCTCTGGCCCACTTGTTCAGGAAGCACATGACAAATGGATGGGAGTGCTGACCAAGGTTAAGGAGTCTGAAAGTTCTGGGAAGGCCTCTAAATATTTCAGTTGCTTCCATCCTGTTGCACAGTTAGAGTTTCATTCCTTTAGTTAAATCAGTGGTTCTCAACCCTGATTACACATAGAATCACAGAGAAGCTTAAAATATCTATGCCCAGGCCCTATCCCAGACTATTTAAATGAGAACCTCAGAAAGTAGAGAATAAATAACATCAGTATTGTTTAGGAAGCTCCCCAAGTGACTCTAATGTGCAGCCAAGGATTGGAACTCCTTTAAATATTATTCTCTCCTTACAGCTTTTGTGGAAGTACAGATACTCCTGGGACAGTATTCTGAAGGTCCTTTTGGCCTTGTGGAAGGGCAAGGTTGTTGGAAAGGCAGGATGGGGAAGTCATAACACTCCAAATC